TAGTTAATTTGTGTAAATCGATGTACCATTAGAGATATTGACCTTGCAATGTAGGGTAAGAAAAATTGCTCAAAATATTGAAAATAATGTAAAAATCGATAAAATATTTTTGTTTTATGCAAAGTGATTGATAAATCCACCTAAATGAGGTTTAGTATCCCAAAATTACGAAATCATATCGTTTGTTGTAGAAATTCAAAGGAATTTTGTGATTTTTAGGGCTTTTTGGAATGGGGTGAAATCGCGTGCAGAAACCGGAAGTGATCCTGAAAAATGGATTTCGGCGCGGTTCTCCTAAAATATTTAACCGATCGAAGAAAAACTTACACAACAGTTTTAGTTCACTAAGGCCTATATTCTGACAAAATTTGAACGATTTCGATTTTTCGCATTCTGCACTYCTCAGGTGACATTTACGGACTACCCCTCTTAATGTATTTTAAATCCACAGCAAATCATTTGCTATAGAATATAATGCTATAATAATTTTGGCATTAGTATAGTGAGAATAAAAAGTTTGGTTATTTATTGTGATTTTGATGTGTTTGACTTTGTTGACCAATGATGGACTAATAATATCTAATAAGGATAAAGATACTAATTACGTCGACGGCATATAATATTGTTCAGAAGGCCCCAGCCATGAAGTGAAGACTGGCGAAGTGCGTGTACTTGGATATAGGAACATCCTGTTCCAGCACCAAAAAATAAGATTACGAGAAAACGTGTTTTTGAAAACCTTCTGAAATATTTTTTCCATTTTCTTCTAATTCTTCCAATCGCAACACATACGGTCACGGATACGGTAAGATATGGTATGGATACAGTGCACTTAAGAATTTGCCGTATTGTTTCCCACTTATGCGAAAACCGCTCTATCTTTATACCATAGACGTAGCCAGGGAGTGTGATTGGGTAAGTTATCTGATGAAAAATTCGACGTCACTTGAATATTACAATCAAAAAGTTAACCTCGTCCATTTCGTTATGAGATGCTCGTCGACTATGCTCAATCCTAGACATGATGTCCTATAGTCTTATTATTGCGTTCTCTTTATTTTCCTCTATAATTTACTGCGAAGAAAGGAATTTTAATATCACACGAACTATAGCTTTCTATAAAGGTGATCAATTTATAATTCCGTCATCGATGTGTGACCGAACGTCTTCTCAGTCAGATTGTCAAAGATTTCACATAAGAGCATTTACAATTGCAAGCAAATGTGAATGTTATTGTCCTTACGATGCTAGTACTTTTGGCTTTGATGCTGGGTCCTGGAGTTGTAGGGAAAATATTGCATTCCGAATGCAAGCAGGTTTGTTACTCGTTTTTAGAAATAGTATCTAACAGCAAACCAAAACCATGAAATTGCTTAAGCTGTTGATGGTGGCAAAAGACTTTTTTCGAACGATTTCCATCAGGCAACGCTAGTTTATGTAAATATCTAAATTATAAACATTTTATTGGGAAGAGTAAAAAGTTAATTGATGCAGCTAAAAAAGCTTGTAAGAAGTAGATTAGTGATATTTGCATAACATAATGTTGACTTTGAATTAAAATACAATGTACGTATATGAATGTACCTTGAAGCGTGTTGATTCATGGCTGTGTTCACTGATCACAGACTCGTTTATAAAAGGGTTAGTCTTGTTTCAACGTCAGAATATACAAAATTACCAAATAGTAAAGTAAAGAATGCACGACTTTAACGACACAAACATTTTAAAGTTCTACTGGCCTTCACTAGAACACGTGAATATTCAAAATAATTCCATACCAAATCAAGGTTAACCCTGTACGACAAAGAATTCGAAACTGGACCATTTGGATTCACCTGCAAAGGGATTTTGATTTGGCTGATTTTGCGCATCAACCCCCATACCCACCCATCCTCACAATAAATACTTGTGTTCTTCATTTTAGGGTGCACGTACAAGTTCCGATCCGAGCATGATAGTTTTCCCATTCAAGTGTGGGAAACACTACGGCAGCAACCACAGTTTATAGTGAGTCTACCCTCGGATTCTTGTAAGATTGACATCGCATCATCAAGATACTTGAATTGTGATGGTTCTTGGTCCACATTGGGTTTGAACGAGAACTCTGATGTTTTTCAACTACTACGACTTCCACGAAACGATAATGAACCTCACTGGGATTACGAGCTTAAGGTATAAACATCCTCTATAAACAAAGTCGTTTCGTCGTTTATTGAATTCTGAGTTTTTGAGCTTTGTTATCTCGACTTCTTCTTCATTTTAGGTTTCTTTTTACGTTTCATAGATATCAAAAAGCTCCCTGGCTGGAAGGGTTGTCCGTCTTCAGTGCTACTGTACAACCCCTTCACAATCGTCTTGTGTTTTATTTAAGATCGCAGGAGAAATTAAATGAGGTGATATCTTACTCAAATACAAACAACAATAACAACAACAACAGCAAGTTCAACAAAATAAACCGAACAAAAATGAAATTGAACTCAATGTAATGTTAATCGTTCGATTGTTGCAATCGGACATAACCAAACTAGGACGTTTTTCTGTGTTCGATAATAAAAGTTCGATTAAGTTCGGTACGTTTCGCTTTAGCGTGGGTCGATTGAAGAATCGTTCTATTATTGAACGTTCGATATTTTGATCGATTACCACCAATCCTAACTGATCAAACGATTGGAGTTCGATTACCAAGCGTTCGATTAGTCACGCCGGGACATGAATACAATAAAAGCAACATCAGCAACTAACAGGACCAAAAAATGGCGACTAACGACGACGACAAATAAATAAAAGCGCTAATTGATCCATGACATATTTATTTGCACACACACACACACACACACACACACACACACACACACACACATATCCATTAATTTACTCTCAAAGACTTGTTTTGGATTTTCGTTTCATGATTGTCGATATAAGTTTAATCGGTTATCATTTGTAATATCAATATATATTATGTTTTTATTTTTTGTTTCTTAATCAGGTCCCGTTGTCTTACGGCGCTCTCCCTCAACTCCAAACCCTGGAAGCAATTTAACTAAGGTAAACTATCAGTTTATCATTCCTGACTGGCACTTGTTAACTATATCTGCAGTACTGAAACATTCCATGTCAACGATGCACGTTTTTCAAATGCATAATTGCATGTATTACTTTAGAGAAAATGATGCTAGGTGTGCCTTACCAGCCACTTGAAACGAATTTTTTATCCCTTTGCCTTTTAGAAACTGTTTATTTTCTCACAAATTTTTAAATATACATTAATTTTGAAAAATTTTGGTATACCTGTATGTTGTAGTCCTCAGGTCCCAGAAACCAGACGCACCACGGTCATCAAAGTGGATCATCATCATCATCACCGGGAACGATAGCAGCTGTTGTCATCATCGTAATCCTTGTCGTCATACTAGCTGCAGTTATTGGATTCGTTTTGTGGAAGGAAAAAAGGTTAGTTAACATTGTTTGGCTTTTGTTTCTTCGTTATTTTGCTGTTGTTTTATGTTTATTTGTTTGTTTTTGTTTGTTTAGTTTTCGTCGTTGTTGTTATTGTTATTTTTGTTGTTGTTGTTTTGGTTGTTTTATTTTTTTAATATTTTAAAATTTTTATTATATTCTATATGAGATATTTATTTTCTGATTATTATAAATAAATTATGGTTAATAGCTAATAATAAATAAAWAACATTCATTGTCATTCTAGAGGTGAAAATGTATTGTTAATGGACAAAATGTTGAGCATTGGTAAGTGGAGTGTTTAGTTTCTTTCTTCCAAAATATTGGTTTAACGATAAGTTTTACTCTCGTTGTCCTTTTAAGCTACTTTTAGCGTTGTTACTCTCACATTCTTTTATTGCTTCATTTGTCATATTGTCTGTTATCCATTTTTTCTACTATATATATATATATATATTTTTTCCTATGTAATCTATGTAATACTTTCTTTTGTCCTCAATACAGTAAAAAGGGCGCCCTCGACTTCATCAACTTCAGCGGTAGCTGAAAAAACAGACGAAGAGGTCTATACAGAAATACCTGACCATCTAACACAAACACAAACACCAAGACAAACAGTGACAAAAACAGATGTGTTGATTAGAACGACTGGTAAAGATTCCTTGTTTCAATAATATCTTTGTTGTTGCACATTGGCCTCTGATTTTGAGACAACAATTTTTATGAGCTTTGTAACTTCACATAGATTTTGTTTCATCGCATCCGTATAACGTAGTGCCATTTCAGTGCCCCAAAGATATCTCAAGATGCTTTGTATTAAATGGCGGGGTGTATATGTTCATCATAAAAGCATCATGGGGAGGTTTCACGGCAGTTGTTGTAGGAAAACAAAGATATAGTGCCCTCATTCAGAAATGAAATCTGTTTTCATTGCATTGTTCCTGCCCTACAAACATGCCTCAGTGCCTCATTGAATCTCTCGTAAGGTTTTGTATGGATCTTTAACATTATTTTTAACTCACCTCTCATAACATGGCTTAGTGCCTTAAAACCTCTTCTAATGTTTTGTATGAATCTCTGACATTCTTTTATAACCCTCCCACACAGGAATCAACAACTATGCTTTTAAAGACCCTCTTCCTCAACCAATTTATGCTTTGCCAGAAGAACATTATGCATCGCTTATACGCACCTCTCAGATTTCGATGGCACAAGAGGAACCCCTCACAGATGATGAGGGGTACTTGGAACCGAGGCAATTTCCTGATTATGTTGAGTTTGAAGGCTCTGAGGAACAGGTTACAGATACCAGGAATACAGAGAAGAAGACAACCAACATTGAAAAAGAACAGGATCAAAATGAACAGCGAAATTCTTCTAATGGAGGTGGTGAGGAGAGCAGTGATGCTGCTGTTGTCTATGCATGTGAAAACAAGGAAGGGACCTCCAAAGCCACCAACAGCGCGGTCTAATGATGATGATAAGGAGCAGGATAAGAAACAGCATGAGCAGCAAACTTCTTCTAAAAGTAGTAGTGAGGAGAGTAATGCGACTCCTATAATAGACCTCTTTACCTTGGAGGCAATGTTTTAGTTCCATTTCAGACCACGTGTCATTTTTCTAGAGAATAAAATTCTTTATTTGATGCGCAACCTTTAAACCGAAATTCTCTACTTTCCCATAGCCCATAATGCTTTGGACCTTGGGGGAAACCAATCAAAAAAATGTCCCAAATTGAACGTACTTCAACTGAATATATACAATGCCTGCTCTAGCTTATCTGTACAATACTGATTATCAGTTTATTCCGAGTTAATTTTGCACGTTCAGAATATCAAGAAGTTTGGTGTTACAGAAAATGTATTATACGAAAAAATATTTAAAATTTACTTAAACGAGGTATTTACTTCAAACGAGGTATTTTCAACATTGTCTGAACCGCGTGCGCTTTTTGTGCGTGGTACCCCCAAAAAACTGCAGAGTATTATGGGTATAGGAAAGTAGAAAAAGACGATACTCTAAGGAATGACACGTGGTCTGAAATGGCAAAACATTAACCCCTTATGCTAAAGAGGTCTATGCATGTGTAAACAAGGTACGGAGAAGTTACCAACAGCGCCGTCTAATGAGGATGATACAGAGCAGGAAAAGAAATTGAAAGCATGCGCATGAACAGTAGACTATGCAACGGGGGTGGTGAGAGGAGTAGAGTGACGCCCCTTTGTGCATCCATAAACAAGAATAGAAAACTTCCAGCGTCACCAACGAGGCCGTCCACTGACGATATACTATACGATATACTGCAAGTTAAGCTTTATAAATGTTAACGCATGCAAATCATACGCAATATAATTTAGCAAGCATCGATTTTAAAGTACATATATCATTTTTATAATTTTAAATTCCTTTTTTATACTGCCGGCATTTAAAGTCATCAGTAGCCTTATATATGTAATTTCAAATTATTTGTATTCTATTTATTATATTCTTATGTATCATAAACGCAATTCAGCCTATGGCCGCAATGTTTTCTGAATAAATCTATTCATCATATCTACAGCACAGGACAAAAAAGTAATATACGCAAGCTGGAAAAAATGTATGTAAATTAATGGGAAAGTTATGATATAACACATTACGACAAATGAAAAAGTATTACGGACATTGGGTGGTCAAAAAGTCAAAATTTAGCAATTATAAGATCGTCAAAGCTCTAGTTTCAAGTTGTGTGAGTACATATATTACAAATGCCTGAAAAATTCCTTATATTTTCTAGGTTTTCGATATTCGTGACATTTCTAGCTAACACTTCAATAATTGACCAGAGAACCGAAAGATATAAAGACAATAAGTTAGGTGTGCTCATCAAAGTTCGTCAAAGGTAGTTTCACTTATCCCTTGCATGAATAAACTAAATGATTGACAAATTCTAGTGATAGCATGACCCTTTTCAAGCGTGAAGTACTAGAAACCGGAATATTTTGACAAGTCGTCACAGCCGAGAAGGTACATTGCAATGATAGCGAAATTAAACTAGCCTATATTCGAAATGGCTGTCAAAGTCAGGATACGAAGATGAGACCGCTCTGAGGTATTCATTTGTGATAAATAAAATAAAGTTGAACTTTATTGCTATGATTTCGATTTCTCATGACTTTTTTCGATAGTTTTTCCTATGAGTGGAAAAGTGGAAAACAAGATACTGACGACTTTACAGCACGAACACGGTACGACATGCCGTGACATTGACTGGTTTTTTATTATCCTTTAGCAATTTCAACCAAACATAACGCGTAGTTACTGCTACGGTAACACTACGAAATTTCCATATTATTTCCCACTCATACGAAAACGGCACCACTCTATCTTACCAAAATTCTAACAAGGGATTGTGATTGGGCAGTTTATTTGATGACAAATAGATTACCGAGTGATTTTGTGACGTCACAAAATATTATTTTCACTATATCATAGGAAATCAAGAAATACGCTAACACGCCAAATTTCAGGAGAATTGGTTGGATAGCAACAGAGATACGGCCATTTGAATAATATAATTCCCCCATAAAAATCTCTGTATTTTTGCCTAATGAACCAGGGCGAAAATACGATGATTTGTATGGGGAAATTATATATCCAAACGGCCATATCTCCGTTGCTTTTTAACCGATACTCTTAAAATTTGGCTTGTTAACGTCTTTCTTGACATTCTATCGAAATTGAGGATCGAAAATTGTCAAAAGCAAAATTTTGTTTTTCGTGACGTCACACTTGGGTACTCTATTAGAAAGATATAACTAGCTAAAAACTAGTGTGAGCTGCGTCGGTGTTTCTATTAGAAGTCATTCAGTTGCAACATGACGTACAGTGTCCGTGCAATACGTCAGTAACCTGAAGTTAATCTCGTCATTTCCTAATGACTGAAGTCATCACCAAGTAAGGCTCATCAAAAATATTTGCTTGTCGACTCAATGTTAGACATGGCGTTCCTTCTTTGTATTCTCTTGTTGACTGTATTTGCTTCTATTCACTGCGAAGAAAGGACTTTTAACATCACACGAACTCTAGCTTTCTATAAAGGTGATAAATTTATAATTCCGTCATCGATGTGTGACCGAACGTCTTCTCAGTCAGATTGTCAAAGATTTCACATGAGAGCATTTATTATTGCAAGGAAATGTGAATGTTATTGTCCTTACGATGCGAGTACTTTTGGTTTTGACGCTGGATCCTGGAATTGCCAGAAAAACACTGAATTCAGAACGCACGCAGGTTTGTTATTATGATGAAAGTTATGATATTTATCAATTTTAAAAACAACACAACACTTTTAAATTTGAARGACATGTTTCGACTTGTCACAAAGCCATCTTCAGTTAAGTGAAGCTAATTACAATTTACAAGGATAAGTCATCACATGTATTCAAACATTTAGCTTCTTCTCCCAATTGTAAGGAATCTGTTTCAWTTGAATGTTTTAAGATAATAGATTCTGCTGTCACTGGTTATCAGTTGAAAAYAAAAGAAGCTCTTTTCATCGATAGTTGTAAACCTGAGCTTAATACTCAGGTCAAACATTTCAACACTACTATTCATATGTAATTTTATATTGGTTACTGCTTATTTTACGCTTATCTTTTGTTTTAATAATTTTCGAACCGTTGTAATTTTATACTTTTGAAAACGCCTACACCGACTTGCGAGAACGTTGTCATACGAAAATAGAACATTAGTGATTTAGTGGGATAGGAATTATATTAARAAACAAAAGAAGATTACTGAAGATGAAACTTTTTCTTTTGTCTTTTAATGTATTCCTTTCTCACTAAATCACTAATGTTCTAATATCGTATGTCAACGTTCTTGCAAGTAGGTGTATATATAACCTTGTAACTTGTAATTAGCTTCACTTAACTGAAGATGGCTTTGTAACAAGTCGAATTTAAAAGTGTTGTGTTGTTTTTAAAATTGATTTGTTCTTTTGTGCTATTACGCTCATATGATATTTATATATCGCTCTTTTCCATATTTTAGTTTGTTTTATAATTATATAATGTATAGTGTCGAACAATGCAATGATATTACTTAGGGCTTGGATGGTTTAATTGATTATTTTCAAATGATTTCGAACAGCCTCGCTCGACGCTGTTTTTTTTTTTTTAGTTTCTTTATGAATGTCTAAATAATCGAAATCAAGTATGGCAAAAGTTTGATGTTCCTAAAGAAATCGAAATCTTCTATGAAGTTCATTAGTTATATCTTTGCATGAATGATAAAAATAACTATAAATGAAATACAGTGTATATATGTACCCGGAGGCACCCATGTTGGTTCTTATCGAACCCTTAAGGGTAGGGAGGAAGAGGCTTTTTCTTGGCTATTCCTGGGAATTTGGATTTTAGAGATTAAGGAATGCCACCCGCGCAGGGACTTTGTTTGGCGTATCCCCCGCCCCCCTCACGGGTAAGGAAATTGTCATGGCCATAGCCTCTAAAAAGAGAAAGCCACTTGAGAGCAACTCATTCCAAGGATAGAAATTTTAAATTGTTTCTATTTTTAATGATTCAAAGATGGGATGTGGGTTTAAGTTCCATAGACTCCAGGGATGGGGAGTTTGACTAAGGCTTCTTTCAGAATGTCCAATATTGTTGGCCCCACCACGCTCCATTCTGAAAGGGTGATAGTTAAACATTACAGATTTGTGTTACACTTTCATTTTAGGGTGCACGTACAAGTTCCGATCCGAGCATGATAGTTTTCCCATTCAAGTGTGGAAAACACTACGGCAGCAACCACAATTTATAGTGAGTCTACCCTCGTATTCCTGTAAGATTGACATCGCATCATCAAGATACTTGAATTGTGATAGTTCTTGGTCCACATTGGGTTTAAACGAGAACTCTGATGTTTTTCAACTACTACGACTTCCACGAAACGACAATGAACCTCACTGGGATTACGAGCTTAAGGTAAACCGGACATTAACTATTACTGCTTAAGTTGCGTTTTGGATTACTCCAAAGCAATTTGAACTCATTTTTCCAATGTTGAGCTGCATATTTATCTATGTACCCGCTCCCTCTATCCAGAGAGGCATACGTTAAATAAAAAACAGTAAAGTTGTTTCCACATAAATGTGCCTGTTGAAACCCATGGGTCTGTAACTGATATCGGACCAGGGAGACGGAGGATATAGAGAAGAAAACCTCACCATCCCCTCACCTAGGCCTCCACTCCCCTTAACTATGGTTGTCAAAGATCCTCCCCCTTGAAAAAGTTTGGTTCCCTGTGACACTGGGCACTTTCTGCAATTTGCAAAACTGCAGCTTCCCTTGTAATTTGATGCAAACCTGACAATCGTCATGAAAGTGCAACTATCTATACATTTTGCAACAACTTTTCAAATAGTAGAAGTTAAGTCAATTTTAATTTCGAAAGGAACGCAGCTAGTGGCACATCTAAAAACCCCATTGCCATGCAATATTTATGGGGATATCAGTTTTCAATACCAAGTACAAAAGTTGCGTATGAACACGAGTTTGAACATTTAATTTTACCAACAGATCACGAAAAATGCTGTGTTGCCAGGACGAGTTGTAAAATTACAGCTTAATTGTAATTCTGCGTCGAAATCATCTTGCGTTCTTTTCAAGATYGCTGGAAAAATATCATGTAAGTTAACTCAAAAGTCAAGATGTCAAATTAATAATGTCAGCTAGTTTTCGCTATAAATGTTATGAATTAACATGATAGAATAATTGTAATAATTCAATTATATGCAGAATTTCAAATGCAACTACACTTTTGAAAACTCCAAAAAGCCATGCTTACTTACAATTACTTACCATTGTTGTTTAGATCGAAATCCCATGTATTTTTTATCTGCTTGGGCGATATTCTGCGTAACTGTTTGTACAAGGCATATACAATGTTTGTCACTAGCTGTAGGTACTGATTTATCCTTTTCTGTTTCGTGTTCGAAGGTCCTGTGGATCCAACCAAAAAGGTAATACTCCAGTATCGTATTTTGTTGCTCTACTCAGGGTTAGAAACCATTTAATTTATTTAAAATATTCCTGTGAGAAGGTCCGTGGAATTTGAAAGTGTTTTTATTGTTGAAGTTGTGCATTCTTTACGTTATCATTGCATGGGTGATAAAAGGAATGGTCCTTTTGTTTTTTATGTCGACTGTTGGTATTCATGAATCAATGAAATGAGGGTGACATTGAGTAAATGAGAACTAGGGCAAACGTCGAACTTTCCATGCACCGAACTTAATTACATCAAAGAATGCCGCCTCATTATCACCTGATATCTATTGTTTTTAATGAGTTCGGTGCATGGAAAGTTCGACGTTTGCCCTAGGCCTATTTTATGAATTCGAAAATGCTTTATTCAAGCTGAAGTAAGCTATTTAAATAAATATTGAAACCCTCCCAAGCCAATGTAATTTTCAGTAGTCTCACGATGGAGGGAGCAAACTTTGTGTATTCAAAAAACAAAACAAAAAACAAAAAAAAAAGAATAGATTTTTCCTTTTGGGATTTGTAAAAATTGGATGAAACTTTACTGAATTCCTCCAGCCTCCCTCCCCCTCAATGCTCCCGATATAAATATATCTAATCGTCTATACGTCTTGATTTGATTTTTTACCCTTATCTTCAAGCTAATTATATATATCACTATTTATGTCAGCCAAATGTGTCTGGTGGTCAAAGTGGAGCATCATCAGGGACTGTAGCAGCTATTGTCATCATCATCATCCTTGTGATCATAGTGGCTGTCATCGTTGCTTTCATAATTAGGAAAAGAAAAAGGTAGTAAACTAAACTAACCTAAACATGGCAATTAAAGGTAATTGTGCACCTTTTCTCATGAAGAAACATTTTGCCGCGTTGTACGAGCTTTTTTATACGTGTAACGTATAGTTACGCGCCTCTTTTACGTGTTTGTTACAGGAAAAGTAGACCTACTTTCTATGACTTGCAACGTTTTTCTGCGCTATAGAGAAAATGGAATGGAATTTGCGCGAGTAAACTTAGCTCTAGTAAGTTGGTGTTTAAAAAATCCGAACCAGCTTACCTAATCTTGCACAGCGACATTTCAAAAAATATTTAATTGGTAGAACATTGACATTGTCTAATGGATCATGAATGGTTGTTTTTTAATTTAGAGGTGAAAATGTGTGGCTGATGGATCGAATATCAAGTATTGGTAAGGAAGCCAGTGCTCATATAGAGTTTACTTACAATAAATGTTGCATTTTCAAAGCGATACCCTGAAACAACCTCTTGCCTGAGCAAAGTCAGGGCATGGCTAACTCACAGATAGAACGCTGAAACAACCTCTGGGCTGACCTAAGTCAGGGCATGGCTAACTAACAGTTAGGACGCTGAAACAACCTCTGGGCTGACCTAAGTCAGGGCA